ATGCAAATATAATACCGGTCAGTGAAAACTGAATAATAATAAATAATAAAATCAAAGAATAATTGCTACACATTTGATTATAATTATAATAATTTATTGGCTAAAAAAATAAAAATCCAAAATAAATTAAATGGATTTAAAACTATTTGCATAATTCCTTAACGTATTGGATTAATGATTTCCCACATTATTTTAAGTATTTGGCAGCTTTACCATATATAAATTGGTTTATAACAACTTTTTTTATATCACTCTAAGCAAACATCTTATATAAAGTTTAAGTTAATACATATTTAATTAGTCTTAGTGTTATTCGTTCAATTCTACTGTAATCATTGATGACTGAATTATAAATAGAAGATATGTGTCCTAAAATCTATTTATATTTCTATTATTCGGAAATTGATTCGAAATGGAAAATGAAAAATTAGATTGGAATGAATCTTTATGTTGTAATTATTGATTCTAGTTAATTGGCCGTATAATATTTTGAATTCATAATAATTGCTATATGAATTAACTTATTTCTAAATTCATAATTTTGTTTTTAATTTATTGTTGCATTTTTTTTAGTTTATTTGTCTAAATTTTATACTTTATGTTTCTTCTGATTTAATATTTATGAAGACCTCGGTCGTTAGCCCTTTGGCCAGTCTATTAATATATATTTTTTTTATTGTATGTTAAAATTTATTTATGTATAAATTGTACTTTTTCTTCTTATGTATCGATGTTTGGCCAATAAATTATTATTATTATTTATGAATTTATTAAGCATTTGTTGTTCACTTAACCATCTCCCACTTATCGCTTACTCTTAAATATATATGTACAATATAAATTTTTTGTGATTGTACTAAAAATGAAATGAAAAATAAACAAAATAAAATGTACTCTATAGAAAACCATAAACAAAATACCAATATTATTTTATATCTGATTTTAAAAAGCAAAAAAAACGTCCATAGATCCATCAATTCAGACACTTGCCCGAAGGCAATACTTTACAAATAACTGTTAATTATTATTAGATTTTAAACAGAAATTTGAATATTGTAATTCAACTATATATAAAATAATATACGTATTGAAACAGAGATTTGTCAGGAATGAGCAGCTGCATCGTGAGGCTAGCATACCTCACATCTCTGAATTCATGTCAAAAACAGCGACGAAGGCTTTTGACAGAGCTGAGGCCCATACAAATCCTCTCCTGCGGGAGGCAATCGACTACGATCCGGATGAACACAAACGGCCAAGGATGGCAGTCACCTGACAACAATAAAGCTCTTAAACGATTGAACATCCCTCTCGTGTGATGATGCATAATCACACGAGCCACTAGGATGAGTCTTACTCCTACTAAAGTCATGATCCACTAGGCTGAGTTTCTACTCCCCTCAAAAAATCAAAGCCATGCATTCCATACGATAAAAGGCAACGGGACCATTCCCCACCTAGCATAAAGTATGAAAAAATAAAAGATTTGAACTATTTGAAAATGATACAAAAAGTTTTCATTTTCTGAATAAAATTAGTTCTATTAAGGAATTAGAAATTTTATTGTAAGATAATATAACAACAAATGTGAGATATTAATCATTATTCTTAATAAAAAAAATCAGTTAAGCTTTTGAAAATTGAACCACAAATTTATCTATATTACTAACAATACCGGCACCTGTTGCAAATGGTAAAATTGATTAAATATAAATATAACGAGAATTGGCACAAGATGAAATATTTAAAAAGTAGATAAAAGGTAAATATTTCAATTATATATTCTTATAACATGCTTTATAGATTTAACTACTTACTAACTTTACTACTAAAAATAATATTTGTAAAATCCTGTCAAAATAAATATTTAAAATTTAAAACTATTACATATTAACGCCACCCAAAAGCCATATTTCTCTGAATTGTTGCTTGCTCTTGAGTAATATTTTTTTGAAATTATTTTCTGTGAGAAAGTTTGAAGCGTAGTGAACAAACATAAATAATATATTATTTAACACAAACAAATTTCAAGATTTTAAATTGTACAGTGAACTTCCTCTAATATAAGTAAATTAAACAAAAACAAATGTTAATTGTTTTTTCAATTAATTTATTAATTTATTTTTTAAAATATAACACTTCATTATGTTTTTCATCCAAATGTTTTTTATTTTTGTTTCTATGAATGCTTCGGATAAGTTATTAAATTAAATTTACATTATTATTATATAAGAATTCTTATATAAATTATTTAAACATTTTAGTGTTCATCAGTAAATTTTGATGAAATGGGGTATACTGCATTTATTATACACTTTTTTTTGTTAATAAAATTAAGAGACAGTTATTTCTGTAATATACCGCACTATTTGAAACCGGACTAATCGAAGACTTTAAAACCGCAACAAAAATAAACAGCACAAAAAGTGACTTGGCTATTTCAAAAATGAAGAAATAAGGTCGTCTTCAAATATAATGCTCATATTAATTCAGATTTCAATTATTTTTAAACTTTAAAGACAAAAATGAAACATTAAAGTCTATTTACTTTTTATACTGCAACTGTTAATCGTACTCTTGAGGCTATTTATCAAATTTCCTTACTCGTCGCTGAATCTGGGTGTAATCATATTATAGGAGAGAATTTAATCAAATCATCATTATCAGCATTTCTTAATACAGTTCTGGAAATCGAATGCAACTTCTTGAAACGCTGAAAATTCTCAGTGCAAATGGATCTATCAACTATGAGAGACAGTGACGTCGTATTGATGACTTACGTAAAATTTATTGATAAAATGTATCTATCTCCAAAGATATATACATAATAAGCTAATAATATATCGATACAAAGTATATCATGAGCTGCAGATGGTGTTGCTAATATGATGGGCAAGGCAAATGAATGCTTGAAATTGATGAAAGATTGTATGCGATGCATTGAGCTTCTCTGCAATCTCACGTGTTGTGAATCGATATTGCGTTCTTGCCTTTTCGGAAATAAGAAATAAAATATGCCAAAAATTTTCCTCCATTTTAAATTTGTGTTAAAACAAAACTAAATAACTAATCGATGCAATGTTTTAACTAAATTAAAACTGGAAGTCCAAACAATAAATAATATATGTTAGGTGCTTGGAACACGCTGAGAAAACATAAGAATATGCGAAGACCGAATGTGACAAAATCACAATAAACAACATTAAGGAACAAATAAAACTCTTGTCGATCCAAAAACGAAGATATTTGGTTTCATTATCTTCAGTGAATTATATCAGAAATATATTTTCAACAAACAATTTCAAAACTTGCATTGTCTCAAAAAAAGTGAAGTGACTGATACCGTTATAAATGCAAAATGTTGAGTCAGTTAAAAATATCCAAATTCAACCAAATGAGATAAATAATCTATTGCTACCATTTCGATCTTCATATTTGGCTGAATGTGGAGCGCATTATTTATTTAAATAATAAATAATTACTAATAATTAACATCTTTCATTAACATTATTTCCCATTTGAATTTCAGTTCTCCATTATATATTTAACTTACTGTGTTTCTCAACAACTTCCTAGTGATTTCTTCCTAAAACCTATCATCTAAGTTTCTTCAATGAACAATTCCATTTTAATATAAAAAGTTATGATTATGTTATATAAGAGTCGCAAGAATTTTAGGAATGCTAAGAACAAAACGATAATTTATGTATAAAAAAATAATTTACTGTACTAATTAATTTTTATTATGATCGATGCCGCACTATGCGATACATCGCGTTCTTTTCAGAAAACATTTGCTATATTTAAAAGTATTAGATTTAATGACATCTTATACTAAAGTGAGTTTAATTGAATTATATTGCAATTAAGATTCCAATTTAGTAAATTGGTTAGTAATGGCCATCTGCTTTTTTTTTTAAATTAATTATTAGTAAATATAATATTTATTTATTTTAAAAACCATGATTGGTCCTAATTTCGTTCAAAAACATATATAAATAAGTCGTTCTGACCAATAATAAATTAATTGTTATACCGAGTATTTATATAATTTATATAGAGCATGAGTAAAATAATGAGTTATAACAATTACTATTATTAAAGAGCATGCATGGTAGAAAGTTCTTGAGGTAGATTAAACAAAATAGAAGTAAGGTGTGGTATATAGTTTGCGTGAAGGGTGACGGGGTGAATTTTCCATATTATTTATTAATGGTGGATGCCGTGTGTCGTCGAAGTTCTGCTCGCGTTCTATTGCTTTCCGAGTGCGCAAGTACTGGAGTCATCGTACATACGGCATCCAATTATCGGGGACCGGGCATATAAAGCTCCGAAGTTTCTTCAGACACAGTTCAAAAATTCACTCAGGTGCCGCATCGCAGACATCGCAGTGATTCAAATTTGAGAGAAGACATTAATCAGCAAACGAAACGAAAATGGTAAAACATTATTTCATATATATATAATATTTAAGATATTTATGTTTGCAATAGAAATTATTATAAATTTTCTGCAAATATACACATAATTATTGATTTATAACCATTGTTTTTATTGTTCTTGTAAATCAGAGCATAACGATTTTAATAAATACAACGGTTGTTTTATCATTACAATAGTCTAGTGTAGATTGTATTAAACATTCGTTCTTGTTATTAAATGATTTAAATTACTCTCCGCGCATGAAAATAAATTTTGAAAAACGTAACCTCCGTCTTTTGTAGAAATACTTTCATTTAGAAATCTTCACTTAGTTGAATAATGTGATAAATATAAATTATTCTTTTTCTCTCGATTGGATCATGGCCAAAGGAAACGGTAATACGATTCTCGGCCACGTACAGTAGTTACCCGAGTAGAGTATACAACATTTCCAATTTGTTGTTCGTTGTAATCTTAGAATAGACGACTTTTACATGCGCTGAGAGCCAGAGGACGAAACGATATTAAATATTAGCGAAACTAATTGCAGATTGAGATTGAGGCAGTGCGCCTCGCATCGTTTCGCTTTTGTTACACCCTTCGCAATGTGAAATCCATTAATTCCTACTCGAATTAGCCGAGCCCGCGATGTTATTGTATTACGCGCATGAATAATCGTAATTATAGAAAGACACCAACCGTTAAAGAAGGCAGGAATTTAATAGAAGCGAAACTAAATTGATTTTATATAATTTTATTGTCCCTGATATTTGAGTTTAATCCAATTTATAACAGAGTACTTGATTATTAGCTGAATCAGAACGATTATTTAAGTAGTAAACTTAAAAAATACGTTTTTTTTTTAAATATTGAATTAGAGATTTTCAAATATTTAAAAAAAATTATTAAGTATAGCAAAGAAGTATATATTATAGATTAAAATAATTTATAAATTTATTATAAAGAAGAAGATAATATACAAAAATAAGAAATTTTGCAAGAGTTTTTATTAAGTTGTACGTTTAATTATTATAAAATATAATTAATTTTCTTTTCTTGATTTAGAAATTATAACATTAAGTTAACTAGAAGCTGCAATCATTCTTAGAAAGACAGGAAATAATATTTGTTTTTTTTTGTTAATTCATTTATGTTACAGGAAGTTCACTTAACAATTAACCAAGCGCAAAATTAGTTTGTTTTAAACAATGTACTTCTTGTTTTCGTTCATTACGGTTGCGTGGTACAATCATTCACACTTTTCGCAGAAATTACCGCCCGTGATTCATACACGTCGATTTTTCTTTTATTGATTCGTCGCGGCTTGGCATGGGCTGGTCTAGTCTGGCTTGGTTGCCTCTGTCGCGACAGGGCATATAATGTTAACGACTTCAAAACAACTGTTTCGCCCAAGGGCGGATTCCCTCTTCTTCGATTTAGATAAGGAATGAGCAATTTTATTTTGCGACTAATAAGTTCATAGTTTACTATCACAGATAACATCCAAATTGATCCAATTTGAAAAGATATAATATGATAACAATATAATTTATTTTATTGAAGCAATATATATACGATTTACTTACGTTATTATTAAAATAAAATTGACGATTTTCAAAATATCTTCAGGAAAATGTTATGTAAAGTAAGAGCTTTATATCTATAAAATGTTGTTAATAATATTTTAATACACAGAAATACAAATAGTTTATAGTAATAATAAAAACAGATAATTTGCTTATAAAAATAACATTTATTGCAACAATTATATAAATAAATTAACTGCTATAAAAGTTATCAGCCATAGGTCTTACTGCCCTTCGCGTATTATTATTTTTAATTCATAACAAAAATAAAAACTTTCAGTAATAAACAACAACAATAATAATAAAAAAAGATTAATTGCTACAAGAGGCTATTGTCCATAGGTCTTTGTGTCAATTCTGTCAAAATTAGTAAACGAGAAGTGCTGAAAATCTAATAAAAGAATTAAAAGTTACTAAAAAGTAACTGCAAAAGTTATTTTCTACTAATATTTTTTTCCTGTTATTGAGTTTGATTATTGCCGTAAATCTTATTTGTACCCTGGTAGTTTTGTAATATATTTTTACATAGATTCTAGATGATAGTTAGATTATATCGTGTAATGAAAACTTATTCCTTTAATTCGACGTGGGTCCATTGTGACCTTTTTTTATTGGATAAGTAGTGAAATTATAACACAAAGGAAAACCGACTTATTCTATTCATTAAATTTAAGGCATTTTATCAGAACCATTAAAAAATATATAAGTTAAAGTAGTCACTTTAAAGCTAAGATATAATTGTTTATTTAGGGAATTATTTATAGGTTAAGTCACAAGAATCAAATTGAATAATAATTTATGAGGCAAACATTAATTATAACATACAATTATTAGAATAATGACCTTCTTTGTTGAATCAAAAATGGAATATTTATTTTTATCCGCGATTTATGGATATTTTTACCGCATTTGTGCGGTTAGGCTGAGTCATTCTTCGAGCCAAATGGGGAATTCGAGACCAAGATGCGATAAAAACAACGCACTTTAGCTCTATTTCAGTGCATGGAATGAGAAAATGAAAAGAAATTAATTATTGCCTAGACATATATCCTTTAACAAGCTTATCTATCTATATAACATTACGTATTTATCGATCTGTTTTCCATTTAATTATTGCATTCACCAGAAACGGCTATTCAGTATTGATCCATTTTCATATGCAACTGTACATGGCAGAAGTGAAATTTGTAAAAGCCCATAATTCGCGTAACGGCATTAATTGCTTGATAGGAAACAATATAATGCATCTGGGCTTCGGATGATTGCAAACATATCTCATGAACTATGTAAAATCAGCTGCATGAATGTGTTCTCATTTGTTTCTATTAACGATTTCATTCTATTGGTTCTTATTTATATGATTAAAGTGATTGAAATTGACGTGATACGGGAAGAATAATAAGTTTGATAGAAATAGCATAGATAATAATTGGAAAATTACGAACAAAGGAAATAAAAGTTGTTTCGACTTTCTAGCCTATACACAACCAATATTAACCCGTAATGTGGGGTAAGGTAAAATTTAATGGATATTATTATAAAAAATATATGTTTTTCGTGGAGGGTTGGTTGTTGATTGGTAACTAGAAAAGCTATTATCATGTATTATATTTTGAAACCTTGTACCAGTTACTTTTCAACTCTTATATTAAAAAAAAATCAATCCTCTTTGTCTTGTTTCGGCAAATCCATTTACAATGCTTACTGCCATTGTGATAGAACGATGATGATGAGTAATATTAAGCATACGCAACCCGTCTCGGTTAGTAAACGGTTTAATTGTAGACCACCGTCTCTGCAATTGAATATTTACATAACTGCACACAATGCAAATTAATCATAATTCGAGACTTATCATTTACCGAACAATGCGATATGTGTGTCATTGTCATGTTGTTGTTCTATAATTAACAGTGTTATTGTTATTTTTTTTGCAGAGGGAATGCATTTCAGTTCACATCGGCCAAGCCGGAGTCCAGATCGGCAATGCCTGCTGGGAGTTGTACTGCCTTGAGCACGGGATCCAACCCGATGGTCAAATGCCGTCCGATAAGACCATCGGGGGTGGAGACGATAGCTTCAACACTTTCTTCAGCGAAACTGGTGCTGGGAAGCATGTGCCGAGAGCAGTTTTCGTCGACCTGGAGCCCACGGTCGTCGGTGAGTAATACGTCGAAGAGAACATCATAAATTGAATAACGCAAAGTGATATAATTTACTCTAAATTACATAAGTATCGTATAACGTGTCTCTTTATATACACGGACCGCATCTACTTTTTTTTAGTTCTCGTATTAAAAACTCATTAAATTACAACGGTTTCTGAAAAAAGTAGTTTCCAAATATTTATTTTAAAAAAAATATCGTCCTTGCAAGCGAGAGAGAGAGAAAGCACTTCGTTGAATCAATTTGGATAATAATAATGAACGAAAAAAATATCTATTTGGTATACACGTGAAATTAAATGGAAACGATTATTATTGGGTTAAATTCCAGCGAACGGCTGATGGTCAATAATTTAGAATTTTATATGTTTATCGCATGCAGGTTTATATACCTACAGCACACAACGCATTCGTGTACATAACAAATATTGACGGGTGATGTTCGTAGCTGGATGGATTGGTTTGATCAATTTAAATTTGATCATCGATGTGCTCAATAGAAATACGTTGCAGGTCAGCGCTAAGGCAATATTATATGTATGAAAATAAGAAACAATTATGTCCGAGCACCGTGTAATTATATCCACACACAGGCTGCTGAAAATTAATTATTAATATGACTAATAGGTGCGTGATGGCCTCAAAAACGACAGGGACAGTACATTCGTGACCGCACAACATAACATTACAGAATTAAACATAAAATAATACGTCATTCAGTCATGACACTTATCTGTTTCTATGAATATGTATTTTAATATAAACTATCAAATTCATAGAAGATGTAATAAATGCTAAATATATAAAACTAACTTTATGCGATAACGCTAATTTAATGTGTACTTAATTATTTCATACTTGCATTCAAAATTTCTCGATTTTGATCCATCCAATATAATCGGTTTATTAATTATAAACAAAAAAAACATGTTTCTGCTTATATTTAACTTTAAAAATTTCATCCTCACAGAATTTTTTAATTTTTTGTCACAAAAATAACTTTTCCTAGTGTATATCCACTATAAATTAAATGTTCTTACAGTTAATGGAGTTTTGCTTAGATCCGAATAAGTAGAAATTGGTGAATCTAACTGCAACAATTTTCGTGTAAAAAATATAAGAGCTGGTATTATCGTGATTTTTGTCAGTTAAATTGTACGAAACTCGTATATCGTAATGCTTTATAATCGAGCTTTAAAAAACGATGGTTGTTTTTGATATTTTTAATATTTTTGATAATTTGCGTGCCGTGTAGTGCGGGTTTTTCTCGGTCAATGACTGGATGTCGTCATTATTACTAGTAAATCTTTAATGCTGAAATCGCCAGCTCTAAACTTAGCAAATTACTTTCGCTTTAGCTAAAGAAAGCAACTTCTCCGGAGCAGAATATTCCTCAGTTATTTACATAGTGCTATTTTTGGCATTCCAGTAATAGAAAAGTATTACAGTCTAAAATGCACTTTGTTTTCTTCTATCTACTTGAGAGTACTAAAATGACACAAATCATTGAAATGTTACCTTTCAGAATATGTACACAAGTTAATTGCTAAAGTCGTAATTTAAAAAATAAGAGCTGTTAAATTATAATAATAATAACATTTATTGCAACAAATCATACTAATTACTCAAAAAAAATAGCATAATATAACATGAAAATTAAAAAAAAACAAAATGATATGCTACAAAGACTATTGCCTATATTATACAGTAAATCGTTTATTGCTCAAATATTGGTGAATATTAAGATGAGGTTTATTATCAAATCCATGTACACAACCGGGATAAAATATATGTTAATTGAAGTGAATACTTTCTCAGAAAATTCAATAAATAAATTTAAATTCACTATTTAATTTTCAATATGAATAATAAAGAGAAAAAAACAAAATATTCGAAGAGGCACACAAAATGGTGTTTCAAACTAGAATTGCTGTATTCATGTGGAATTGGACATAGACAGGCTTAATCATAGGTTTTTTAAATATTTGTTATTTATAATATTTGGTAAATATATATATATTGTTTTTGGTGATAATTTACAATTAAATTTAACGAATATTTCTAAATTTGGTAAAGAGTTAAATATAATCTATAATCCATCCAGGATCAGCTGAATAATTACCCCATTAATTGCAGTTTTAAAATTTCTGAGTGCTTACATAAATAATAGATTGTTGTAGCATATCATTATAATTGTTGTGTATACTGATTATCTTTGCTCGCACTGAAGTATATTTAGTCGAAAGTAATATAACTGTTTTATTGCCACCCTAAATATAATCGCACCCTATTAGGTCCCATAAAAATATTAAGTAAAGATGTTTAGAGTATGAATATTTACTTAAAACTGGATTTATTTTTATCCACACACAGATAATGTTTATGTACGAATCACTGATAGAAAATGCTTCAAAATATAAGTAAACTTAGTTTCATATAAATAATAATATAATATAAATATTTTTTTAATTGTAAACCCTTAAAAATTGTAACACATAATCAATAACAAAAATAATCCAACACTAAAGGACGAATTAATTATCAATACATTATAATGATTTTACGATAAATTGGTCGATAAATATTTTTAATTATCAAAACTAATTGAAATTGAATTTCAGTGAAACGCTAATGCAGAACGTTGTTTTAGCACTCTAAAAACCATTATAACACTTTTAATAAATTAGACATGCTAATATCAGTTGAATTCTTGGCTTTTTTAAAGGATTATTCACAAGAAATTCAACAGTTTAATCACAATGTAATCAAAAAATTTGCTCATATAAAGAAAAGCAAAAAATATTCAATTTAAGATTATGTTTATATTTATTTATTAATTTATAAATTGTATAATAAAATTTGTTTTATATTTTTATAATAAACGCAACATTCTCTATTACTAACTTTCTACAAGAGTAACTATTTTGAATGCACTTTTTCAAATTCAAATGAACATAATACAAAATATGTAGTAGGTTTGGCATTAGTTTATACATGTATTAAAATTGGTAAATACTGCTTTCTTTATTAAAATTTTATAATCAAATGGACAATACAACGTTAAAAGCTTTTTTTTGACAAATAGTCAAGTTTGTTGCGATTATCAAAATTGTGTGTAAGTGTTTATTCATTTTTTTAATTTATAGTTTAGAAATACAAAATGTATTGACAGAAATAATAATATATCTATAATTCCGACCCCTGATTACACATGTTTCTATCGTTACAAAGCGTCACTAAATATACTAAATATTAAACAATTACTCACAATATTATAAATTAATTCTGCCAATCTGTATGGTCGCATCTAATGGTTGATATTTTCTAGCCGACAGAGGCTATTACATTCAATACTTAAATATAGCAGTGATTTTCAACCTTTTATTTAACTCACAGCACACTTGAATTTACAGTAAAATTTCCGCGACACATTTAAATTATTATATTTAAATTTGTAATTATTTTACTATCCAAAATAATTTAATTAATGAAATAAAAACACTGCACTTCATTCACATTACACCAATTAGCCGCGACATAACAATAGAAAATTACTATACTATATGCTGCTTTCCACATAGTATCACTGCTACTAAGCCTAACCAAAGACCGAGACTAATGATAAAAGTATCGCTTTGTGAGTAAAAAAGCGCACTAATATTTTAGGGAAGGGGATATTTCTTCAGAGAATACGTTATCTGCTTGGGAATGGAAGTTCCTGTTTGCTTAGGGTGGTAATAAAATATTTGTAAGCAGATGTTAAGACTAAATACACTTGATAACTGTTTACACTTAATATTTAAACCATTGAACATTTTATCATTATAGAAATATTTACTTTTTATTTCAAAATTCATAAAATGTATATATGGTTTCTAATAAAACGATGAATCTAATCTAAATTCTGTTTTCCGCTATATTTTATTGATAAAAATTATTAATGTTTAGAAATTTTTTATAAGACCGAGGGGAATTTGAAAAATTATTATACAATTTATAGGTTTATTCAATTTTTAGCCTTTTAGTTGGGAATTATGAAAAATCAAAAATAATTATTAAACAGATTACTTTTATACAAAAGTTTATTTAATGAAATGTTTTTATAATTTAAATTCAACTGAACATAAAAACTAAGTAGAAATTTTTATTCTTCGACAAATTACTTTTATTAAAGTGGTTTTCAATATTTTCTTCAGATGAAGTCCGAACTGGAACGTACCGTCAGCTTTTCCATCCAGAACAGTTGATTACCGGAAAGGAAGATGCTGCAAACAATTATGCCAGAGGACATTATACTATCGGTAAAGAAATCGTCGATGTTGTGCTGGATCGTCTTAGAAAATTGGCGGATCAATGCACTGGACTTCAGGTATAATATATTCATATTTATTATTACAACCGAAATGATCAAAACTGTATCAAAACATTATCATAGTTATAAACTTCTTATATCTGATTCATTTTATTAAGGGCTTCTTGGTGTTCCATTCTTTTGGAGGAGGAACCGGATCAGGATTTACTAGTCTACTCATGGAGAGATTGAGCGTCGATTATGGAAAGAAATCCAAATTGGAATTCTCAATATATCCAGCTCCGCAAGTATGTTTATGTTATGGTTTCGTTCTGTGTGTATTATTTAACATTTTGCAGGTGTCCACCTCGGTTGTCGAACCGTACAACTCGGTGTTGACAACTCACACGACTCTGGAGCACACGGACTGCTCTTTCATGGTTGACAATGAAGCCATTTACGATATCTGCCGCCGCAATTTGGATATCGAGAGACCAAGTTATACGAACTTGAATCGTCTTATCGGTCAAGTAAGTAATTAGTTGGAAATTTTCTTGCAGTTGTTTCATCTGTTGCATTCCTGTAGATCGTTTCTTCGATTACGGCCTCCTTGCGATTTGACGGAGCGCTGAACGTCGACCTCACCGAGTTCCAAACTAATCTTGTACCGTACCCGAGGATCCATTTTCCATTAGCCACTTACGCACCGGTCATTTCCGCGGAGAAGGCCTACCACGAACAGTTGACTGTGGCTGACATCACCAACGCCTGTTTCGAGCCGGCCAATCAACTGGTCAAGTGCGATCCTCGTCACGGCAAATACATGGCTTGCTGCATGTTGTACAGGTAATACTGACTAAAACAAAACCAAATATGAAATCGGTATAAATGATATGTTTAATGTAGGGGAGACGTTGTGCCGAAGGATGTTAACGCGGCCATCGCCACAATAAAAACGAAACGCAGCATACAATTTGTGGACTGGTGTCCGACAGGCTTCAAGGTGGGCATCAATTATCAACCCCCAACCGTGGTACCCGGAGGTGATTTGGCTAAGGTGCAAAGGGCGGTTTGCATGCTGTCCAATACGACGGCCATAGCTGATGCATGGGCCAGGCTGGATCATAAATTCGACCTTATGTACGCGAAACGCGCCTTCGTCCATTGGTATGTGGGTGAAGGAATGGAAGAAGGCGAGTTTTCTGAAGCCCGCGAAGACATGGCTGCTTTGGAAAAGGACTACGAAGAAGTTGCCGTCGACTCTGTGGATGGCGAGGCCGAGGAGGGTGACGAATACTAAACGACATTGCCTTTTTTTTTATCTACATAATGCATACATACTAAATACACTACGATAATTTATTTTACTATTCATACATATATACTGAACAAAAAAAACTGCTATTGTAATTTTGTAACGCACACTGTTTTATACTTTTTATTTATTTGATACATCTTCACCAGGCGTGAAAAACTATTAGCGCATTTTACCAAAATAAACGAACGCATGTGTCACTATTTGATTGATAAATAAGGAACTGTGTAATTTGTGTCTTATTTAGAAGCGAATACAATAAACCTAATAAAAAATAATTACTTTTTTTAGTTTTCTATTCCTCAACATAATTAATAAATATGTGCATACTTAAGCACAATTTGAACTAATCAAACTGAATAGATAAGTCACTGCAAGTATATATTTGTTCAGATTATTAGAATCTACGACTAATGTCATGCAAAGAACAATAAAGATATTTGTAAATTTAAATATATAATTCCTGATAAAATCTAGCTATAGATGCAAAGGAGCATACATAAATTTGCTAAATATTACAACGTACAATAAAACTAATTTATTAATATTATAAATAAAATATATTTGTTTGCACTTTTAGGAATTCATAGATTTTGCATTGATTGGTACAAATATAATGATCTTGTTTTTGAACATAGACTGTATCATATCTTATTTACAATTTCATCTTAAAGCATACAGGTACACTAAATTGAACAATATAGCATGTTCATTTAGTTAAATATTAATAATAAAACAATCACTCAACTGGATGTGACACTTTACTGATTCTACTCAGTTTCATAAATAAAAACTAGAAGTAAATTGCACGAAAACACATACTTTAACAAAAGCTTATTTTTTTTCTAAAGTCATACATTTTACTATTTTTTATAGTACATACGTATTCAATGATTTAAGAAATGTACTGCAGATGATTTCTACAGATCAAGGATAATATCTTGATAAAATGTTCCTGGATAAAGATATATATGATACAAATATTACTACTAATGAAATAAAACATTTATTACAAATATTTCCTTTTTTTGCATTTGCTAAATCTAAATATACATTTTATCACTTACTATGCACAAACACTTTATTAAAATAATTGAATGTAGTCGAATTAAACTAATATTAAAGTCGTCGACTCGAATTTAACGACACACAAGATGGTGATTGTCTTTGAAATATTTCGTACGAATACGGCATCAAGACTAGATATGGTCGCGCAACCCGGTGACGTTCCCCAAAATTCAGTTTCGCTTCTTCGAATGTTTTGGTGAGGGCGAAGTTGGCTCGATCATTTGGACCGCACATTTCCGTGGGAACCAACCTCGGACGCGGTTTAATGCTTTCTCGCTTTCGGGTATATTCGGTTGCATCTTTTCACCAAACAACCAATGCCTTAAAACATAGAAACGCTCGACAATAAAGTAAGTTGCAAATATCACTAACGTCAACTTACTTATTCCAACGAGTTACTAAAACCGTATCATCAATTTCTAGTTTGATGCGAGGATCCTCTGTGCATGGCGAGCTCATGAGTACGTACAGGCCTTTACTAATAGGAAACCAATAACCGGATGCTGGCTGAATAATTTGGTACATCTTTGCTCTTTGCTTTTTCTCAGCCTTTTGTGCTAACTGTTCACGCTATAATAAAAACAATGCATTTACGAGATGTACAAAATGAATTTGCTAATTCATGTAAAAGTATGCAAGTATTTGTTACACTACATCAACTATTGTTATATAATAAATGAACAAACCGTTAACGTGTACTGGTCACATCCTTCTGCGACTTTCCAAGTAATACCATCGCCGATTGGATTTCCACTTAAATTAACCACTTGTTTGATATTTTGGTAGATGCCCAAGTCATATGGAAATTTGAACACCTTTTCTGTGTTTTGCCTCCTCCTTACTGCTTTGTCGTAAATCCATTCTTCGACGCCAGTTCGATTCCTACCAATGGACCTTAACTAATTGGATTGCAAGTTTATATTATTAAAGTTATTTAAATTTCGATTGTTTACCTGGAAAAATAATAGCATACCAACAGCAAATACCACTCCAATGGCTAAGCCTAGAGAGAAAATACAGATAACTACACTGGAAATGCTGAACTGCACCTGGGGAATATTCGGTGTGTAATACATATACCAGATTCTATAAAATCCCCTGTACATACAGGCTGATAGTATAACAGTAGCATGCATGCAGCCTAATACAGAAAACAAAAGGAAGTAAGTGAAATGAGCATGATTGCCCCAGCCAACGCAATTATTTATCCATGGACAGTGATGATCCATTTTCAATGTGCATCTTCCACCTATGATAATAATAATGTTAATAATTAATTTAAAAATAAACTTAAGAAAATACTTTACATTTTCTGCAGTGATGAGCTCTAGGTGCTTTGTATCCTTGGCACACCCCGCAATATTGCAATTCAGATATGTCATCTTCCTTTTCCTGAAATAAATTAATTTAATTAATAAGTACTAATTGAATTGTATATTAGGCATACAGGTGTCCATTTATGTGGTAAAAAGCCTGGCCCATGGAATGCTGCAGCCAGGAAGTTGTAGATTGAGAGTCCGGACAATGCCATGAACCCAAAGATGTTGACAAGTCCACCTGGAGTGTCCGTAGGCCAAATCATACTAGAGCAATGTACAGTCATTCCAGTGACTAACTTGATTATGGCTGCAATTAATAGAATAATTCAACAATTGTCTTTTTAAAAGACTAAAAACTAACCTAGAGCAGTTAGAGGTCCCCAATGGTACAGCCTTGCGAATGGTCCGAAACACATGTTTGATTGATGTATTAATACAACATGAACTATTGCTTATTATCTAAGAGGAAACGTATCAATTACAGCATAAGGTACAAATTATTTGCCTCTGTCAAAAAACCCACATCATAGCCTCTTCACAGCCTCTATATGTACACAAACAATTTGCTATCAGGAGCAGGCAACCCTCTACACACAAAGTCAAGAAGTTTTGTCAATACACTTTTACTTCTAAGATTAATTTATATTACAATATCTTATGTTCTTTAACGATTAGTGTTTAAATTTAAATTTAATATTAATTGATTTTAGAAAGAATTCATATTCCTGACAACCGAACACACAATTGAGAAGTGCGTATGATTACGCCAGTGTTCTTCAACTATTTTTTTTATTTCACAGCAAACTTGACACTTGAGTTAAACTTCTGCAGCACATTTAAATCATAATTAAGTTTACACTTATAGTGCTTCAAACTTCTTTGAAAAATAATTTAATTTTGTATCCCAGTAGCGACTACAGCATACGTCTGTCTGAAGTGTTTAAACTAAAAAGTCATCCGGATCTACCTGGCATTACCCGGAATACTTCAGACTATGGATATCCTGCAATAACAAAACTCTACTGATAAAAACTTCACAAGTTGTCGACAAAACTTACTTCCATTACGGAAGAACTTCTCATAAAACTAACAATAGCTCAGAGTATAGTTAAAGCGACACCATCAATGATATTTTTGCAAGGGGGATTTAAATCTGTGACTGGGATTCTTTAAATTTTATGTTTCTTTATATTTAGCCAATTAATTTGAAAATAATTAATAATATTTTTTTTAGTTTGTCATAGTTTTTAAACATTATTGTCCTGTTTTATCGTTTCCAAACATATTAACTGCAGATGGAAACACGCACACCTCCAACTAATAAAGAAACTTTTGCACGAAACAAGCGTATACACGATTCGTCGAGGTATAACAAATTCAGGATTTTCGAAGAAGTAATTGTAATGAACGACATCACAATAAAATAATTGTTTATTGTTCAGTATTTTTATTTAGTGCAGATTTAGATAATAATTCGTGTTTTTTATCCATTGCATGCCTCTGTAAGCATCAGCTCTTTTGGCATTTAAGACAAAACAATTTGCTCTTGCGCCGCGAATGGAGTCTTGCAAAAGCACCCAGAGACTTGATGTATTAACGAAAAAAAAAACATAATTTTTGGAAAATTTATTTTTATTTTACTAAATTAACATTTACAATTCTGAAATTTGCAAACCGGGCTATATTGAATCCGGACTAATTAAAGAGGGACTGTGCGAGATAGTGCTGTACTATTATTCATTTTTTTCTACTCAGCTGAAACTTAAACAAAATGTAACCATCAAATTTGTGTCAAAATGATAGATACATGCAAAGGCTTAGGCCAGGAAATGTAAAATGAGGATAATGGCCTTAATAAACATGTCTTATAAACAATTTTAATTAAATATTTGCACCAGTTACATCTTTTTCCTATGTCTGATTAGGAGATTCAAAGTACTTATATCTCTTTCCCCAACTCTAGAATGTTGAACCAAGATGTGAATTTTACCGTCGGATGGTTGAAATGTATACATTTAATTATACTGTTGTAGATAACAATAATTGCATATCTGAAATCGTATTCAAAATGTATCTAGTTAGTTTTATTTATCAGCCTGTTTATTACTTGCGATATCCGCATGCTCAGCATATAAATATTGATCATGATAGTAATATACAAGATAGGACTAGTAGATATTTCATCATCTTTCACGCATAACGTAGCCTTTGCGGTTAGGTTGACAATATTGAAGTAACAATAGACCGAGAATCACAAAGCGACTAATATTATGAATGATATCGTTTAATTTTTATGATCAAAGAGAAGTGTATGTTCTGATTAGAATATGTTTCAATAGTTTTTGTTAAATCAATCTTTGATTGAGTATATCTCCCCTATACTGAATGCCCAGAAGTTTACTTTAGTTGGAATCCCGATTGAACTCAGAGTATTTAAAGCTCAGGCTTTTCAATCTATACAAAATAGTTATATTGTAATTATTATCTTGATACAATATTAAAAATAAGGAAAGCACATTAGGTTTTACTTTCGTTCAACTTTGAAATATTTCAATCGATTTATTATGGATATAAAATTGTTGGAAGTACAGTTTGGCACAAGGGGGATTTTCGAAAATAAAAAGATGTGATGTTATTGATTCTTCTTCAATTCTGTAGAAATGAAAGAAAGATATTTTCTTCTCATGCTTCTGATGCAACCATCTAGCGGCGACACTCAAGTTAGAGCGTAATAAATTTTAATTTTTCTCGACACGAACGACAGTTTGATAGCAAGGTTTTGTTTCTCTAATTGGAAAGATTGTTAAATTAATTTATATATGAACCATTTTCTTGAATATGGATTTTATGTATGTACTACGTATACATGAGGAGGATGCAGAAATAATACATTTTTGCTAACAAATTTATTCATTCATTGTTCTGCCTACGTAGGCTAAATTAAAATACATCTTTATAAGATTACAGTCATATCTCGGTTAACATTTCAGCTGATAACGAAGCTTTTATATATTGAAGTCCGTTTTAAGTCTGCTTTAACATAAAAACTATTCCAGATCAACTTCCGACAATCATCCGATAAAATATAATCTCAATAAAGGTTTCAATAATGAAGATGAAGAGGATTAAAAATGTTAACAATAAAATATTTGAGAATGTCATTTAAAAACGTATTAATTTGTTTTGAAATACAAATAGTTCCGAAATAAAAAAAATACTTTATTTTCTTTTAAAATAATTACATATTAATAATCTTATTTATTATCAAAAATACATTATAATGACATATAAATATTATTGGGTGTTAACCTGTCCATGTTTTTTCAAATTAAAAAATTCGCGCCAAAAGTACAAAAATAATGATTATACGTTATTGAAAAGAAAATGTTCTGCTCTACAAGTTATTGTGTTTGCTTTTACGTTACAATCATTATTTTATTGAATTACACGCCTTCAAAATGGAATTCAATCAAGCGAATAAAGTCTCCAAATCTGTGTGAATAATACATGAGAATTCATTAGAGTCACTAGTGTATTCTTGTCCTCTTAATTTTGAAAACACCCAATACATTAAATGAGAGCATTTTTTGTCTTGTAATATATCTTCTGAGCTGTCTTCTGTAACATATTGATCTAAGATGTACAGATTTCTCCTTGTATTTAGAAAATGGCCTTTCATTATGTTCTTTTAAGGGTAGAATTACGAATTTCATTGTTCAGAATTCTTTGTATATCCAGAATTCGTCATAGCAATTACCAAAAAGATTTTTCTTAAGACTATTCTTTGGTCTCCTAATATATAATGCAAGTTCAAATGATTGCCTAAATTAGACTTAAAGCCGCAGTTACTAATTTGAGTTATTATATGTGCGCCCAGCAACATAGTAAAGAAAAACTTGCATGAATAGTTATTTGCAGTCCGTTTCTTTTTTAATTATTGTTAAATATTGAAAAATAATATTCATATTACATATCTGATCCATGGATTTCATTTATTTCTTCTTGGACATACAATAATTTTATTCGTAGGTACATTTACAAAATACATGATAAAAATAAATATTTCAGAAACTTCACATTAGAATAATACTTTATATATAAAATATAGCAACATAAAGGTCTTTACGTCTATAGTCCAGTATATATATATAACTTCTGATTATATTATCATTACAAGGTACACACATTGTCTTACGGAAAGGGATACAAATAAAACAGGAATTATTACATATCACAATTAACAATTTGAGTAAATTCGCTTATAATCCCAAAAAAATCTTTCCTTTCGTAAACGTCAATCACGAACCGAAATAAATAAAGAATGCGCGAAGGGCCGAAATTAGCAACCGCAGGACTTCTGCTGGGAATTTAGGTCGACGTTGTCCAAATCTCGGGGTCTTCCGCGCCTCCCTGGAAGCATAGCTTTATCCACTGCGGATTCCATGCGAATCATCACCCGCTCTAGAAGAGTTTCCACCGCTCTGGCCACATTTTGTCCGGTAGCTGCGCTTGTTTCAATATACACTAGACTAAAATTGAAATAAACAAAATCATAATAAGCAAATCGATGTATATTTATAAATGTGTGAAAAAAAATACTTATTTTTCTCGGCCAAATCTCGAGCCCTCCATTCCATAATCACGCGCCTATCTTCCAGGTCTGCTTTGTTTCCGCATAGAATAACGTCGGGCGAATCGCAGTACGCGTGTATCTGAAAACAATATATATACATATTGATGTATATATGTGTGTGTGTACATATCAAATATAGAAAATCTGTCACAGTACAATCACCAAAGTTATTTTTAGTTTGATGCTTGAGGTTGACAATTGAATGAGTATGTTGAAGAATAATCTAATTATTGTAATAAATATTTTAATTCGACGAAAAGATACACTGTACATTATTTTATGTATCAAATAAAATAATTATAATTACTCCGAAATAACATTTTCATATTAATATAATTGCATTATTAATTATTAATAACAAGTTTTCAGTTCTTGGGTTTGGCTGAGTATGTGTTATGTAAGTGGCCATATTAAGGTAAGTGTAAATTTTACTTACACGTAATTGTTCGATCCAGTTGCGTATTTCAATGAAGGATTGCTCGCTAGTTAGATCGAATAATAGTAGGAAGCCCATCGCGTCTCTGTAGAAAGCGGTTGTTAAACTGCGGAACCTCTCTTGTCCGGCGGTGTCCCAGAGCTGCAGATGAACCCTGTGGTTGCGACCCTTCGTCTGGTACAGCTGAAACCGATGAATCCGATTCGATAAAATTGTATTCAACGCCCGCACGAATTTTAATTAAGCGAACGTGCAAACAACAGAAAGCTGTCCTTTATTGATTAGCACTCACCAATCGCTTCTCCCTGAAATCTATGCCTACTGTCGATATGAATCTGGAATTGAAGGTCCCATCGGTGTATTGATACAGGAAGCTCGTCTTCCCGACACCGGAATCGCCGAGCGCCAAGAACTTGATCAGATAATCATATTCCATCTTAAGCTGATCAAAAGCGGAAACTCTCGTTGGGCGTCTTGCTGAGGAGTAGTCTTGTCACCGTTCTGCCGTCCTCAACCTGTTGCCCCCCTCTTCGGAAAGAATGACGGTGGTTTGCCGGTTCCTAAACCACCTGTCCGCTGTTAGGTGTCATGATCGCGTACAGAATGTCCCGTAATCAGGAAATATGTTGGTTGGCGTAGCGCGAGGATATTTTTGCGCGCGCATTTTCCGAATCGATAAAACTGCGCTGAAAAGCGCGGAGGGAACTTCAAAAACCATTACGACAATGTTAAAAACAATGCGACAAATAAATATGAGTAGCCTCGATTTAATTTGTTTATTTTTTCTTTACTTTCGTAAACATTTGCATTGACCTGGTTTGCAAAATAGTACAGGGTGGATCGAAAAGCAGATATTATTGTATATATGTTTATTTATGTAATCTTACATGCTCTGCATATTCCAATTAAATATTCGTATAAATGTGTTGTAGTAGAATAAGTTACGACGATGTAAAAAAAAGTAATAATAATTCGAGATTATTGTTCATTTAGTCTCGTTCAAATCGATCGCTCGGAAAATTTGGAAAATAAGTGAGCTTAGACAAATTATTATAATAATATTGTGTGCGCATCCTTGGCCATGGAATTTCAGAATCGCTCTTTTTCAATACAATACTATTATATTTTACCGTAACAGCAAGTGTATTGAAAAAAATAGTTTACGGAATTTCATGCTCAGTATCCGGAGCGCACACAAAAGTTGCCTGAGCTACTTGAAATGATTAAAGAAATTGTATTATTAAATATTATTATAAACATTATAAAATGGTGACTAGGAAAAATGTGAATAATGCAATTAATATATCAAGTTATAGTTAGATTAAACTTCTCGTCAATTAAGTATTCAGTCTGCCATCACAGTTGTACGATGTATGAATAAAAATGAAAGCACACACACACGCCGTGCACCCTACTAGATAATCCGACTACCTTCAATCGACACGCATCAAGTAGTTAATATATAGAAATTCGGAACTACCAAACAACAAACAAAACACATAATATATTTTTTTTTCTTTCTTTTGGAATGTAGTAATAAGATTTATTTTTATTCAAACTAATCTTTACATCGTTATTGCTGCTTATATATATATATATTGTGTATATATATATTATATTTTGTAACAAAAAAATCAATCATCGAGTATATTTTCAAGACGAACTACAATTTTTGGAAAAAGAAAAATAAAATCCCTAAACACGAGCGTCTTATTTCCATCATCGTTTAGCATTTATTTTATATATTACGTTTTTGTTTTACATAATTTTTATTTTGGCAGTGAAAATAATAATTTATCGATTACAAAAATTAATCTCCGTATGCGTATTTGGAGACGCTGCCTTATATGATGATAACAATGAAGAAAAAACTGAACAGCACAACGTAATCGAAACTACATATACATTCTTTATATATAAACTACATGTGTTTTGTGTGATTATTTTTTTTATGCGTTTATACATAAATAATTGTAAGAATAAATCGCTATGAGAGTACAACACGTCTGTAAACTATCCGACATTCAACATAGAATAAATATAGATTTAAAAATTATAATATTATAGATTTTTTTTGTAACAGAATTTAATAATGAAGATGTCCGCTTACAATAGATCGATATTAATTGCGCAGAATCTTTTTAACATCTCGATACTGTTGTGTTTATTTCTCTCAATTTAATCAGGTACGCAATCATAATAATATTTCAAAATAATCACAGGATTTTGTTCTCCATTTCAGAATAATACAAATTATATTACGATAACTATAATAATTAGAAATTCGTATTCACTTCCATTCCACTCTCGCCTCTTAGCAAAAATTAAAATTAAAGTTGGTTCCGATAAGTTAAGAGTTATTATATTGCTTCGAAAAATAGTGCACGTTATATTATTTAATGTATGTATGAATATATATATATAGATATCATCTATAGTTTCCTACAAATAGGAGAATAAATTAAGGGAATGTAAAATACTTTAAGCAACTTTCCCGTTAATCATAATAATCAATTGATGCTATCTAAGGTTAAATAGTTTATTTACAAATGTATCTGTTACCATATTCAAATATATACTACAGAAGTTTCGATAAATAATTTGCTTGCTGTGTCAGTTAAATGGAATCTAGTCTAGATTAAAATATTGTTGTTTTTAAATTAATTATTATTATTTATTCAACAATGCTTAAAGCTATAAATCACCGACGATCGTACGGGAGAAAATAAAAGTTAAATTACGGTGCGGATCTACGTATAGAATAAACCATGTACAGATGACGCCACCATCAAGATTTTTTTTTGTTGCGCCACAAAAATATCACAAGAAGTCATGCACTTTTGTCTTCATTTTATGCGATTGTTTTGTTGTCTTTTTGTTTCTTCGTTTTCTTCTTCTTCTAAACCGCGACTGTCTTGAACTTAGAAAACCGAAAAGCCTGCAAGCGTCGTCTCCTGAAGCCTTTCCAGAACATACACAATAAACCGTTTAGTTCAGACAGCCATTCAAATGATAATATTATTATTTAACACGTAATGATTTCTCCTTTTTGTTTGAGTACAAAGTACAGTTATAATATTATACGAATAATATATATAATTTACTATGTACAGTGCTTTAAAGCTACACGTTTTGCGAACTTTTTGGTTTTCATTTCGTAATTAATTTACTCTGTCTCTAATTATATATATATATATAATATGATTCATTAAGTAGTCTGTGACTTAGTTTATAAATATATTTGTGTGTATATATATATATGAATGTTATTCAATAATCTCATGCCCTCTTCTTATCTACAACAAATCACATTTTTTCACACTCACTGCAGAATACTTGATATGCACGCCATACGTAATAAAATATATAAATAATAAATGTAAGGTTTACTACATATATATGTATATGTATTAACTATATATATACTAGAAACCAAAATTTTTCGATTGATCACGCTGCGAGTCCTTCCACATTTATTCCTCATAGGTGTTTGTGAAACTGTTGTAATGGTAGAAGAAGAATATGAGAAATACCGCGAACGCACTTGGAAACGTGATTCTGGCAATCACGTCTATTGTCTTGGCCACTCGGATCGGATGCGGCGGCTCCTTCTTCCGTACCTGTAATATACAAGACTGCTCTTGGTTAGATATGTCAAACAGTGATATAAATCTGTTACTATAAACAAAATAATTAGAATTATTTAATAGTTATTTTTGATATAATGAAAATTAAATGTTTTTAGTCTCAATTAATATCAATCACATTTTGTGTTTAAAATTGATACCAATATTTAAAATTTTAGTTATACTAAGTCATATTAACTGGTTGTTAGGCAACTAATAAATAAACGGCGCTCAAATAGTTTGGCATATGCCAAGAGCAATTCATAAGAAATGTAAATGTTTTATAAAAATATTCATAACAAATATAGTATAATCAATAAATTAATTTATCTCCGTAGTCTTCTGAGAAAATAATATAAATATCCTCCAGTCTTATACAGTCAGGGGCGGACCGTTACACCTTCATAACCCTGGGCCTTTTTGACATAGTTTGGATTAGTTGTGATTATTTTGATTAAACGGGGCTCTGCAGCCATTAAGAACATGCCTAAATTCGTACTTGTACATAGTTAACATTTTTGTTTGATTGTATGTAGGGGTGATATTTAAAGACAAGTTGGGCCGTAGCTGTTATTATTTGTTTTAGTCTTCCGTAGCTGTTGTTAAAACAAACCCCATATAATAAAAATCAATTATGTACCTGGACATAGTAAGTCATTTAATAACAATTAATTTTATAGGAAAATCTTTAGAAGATTTTTGTTCTATGTAACATGTTAATCATGGCTGAGAGAAGGAACCCATTTGGTTAGTGTAAAAAAAAGTTCCAAATACCCTAAATATCAATAACAATAATATTCAGAAGTAGAAATTAATTTTATGATGATTTAAATTTCAATTACAGTTGTAACATAAAAAAAATCAATCCTTCTTCAAATTAAATTAAAATTTGTAATTTCTAGTCAATTATATCAGTTCAGTGTTACCCATGCTTAAATAATATTGATTTGAAGTTTACTAATAGTAAATTATAGTGAAGAGATAAAGGTATCCAGAAATGCAGCAAAAAAGATAAATTGCAACATTAACTGCAACCTATAAGATTTGACGGATATAAAGTCAAATGGTTAAAATTTGTTATCCTAACCATACCAAAATAATAAAAAATAATTAAGTACGAATGAAAATGATCAGGTACTTATAAAATAAAAAAAATGTGAATATTAGTGACATATGTAAAACGTAAATTAAAATCAATTTGTTGCGATTATCGAATTTTTGTAATTATGGAATTTTTTGTCCAATAAATTATTATTATTAATAATTATAAGTAAGAATATACGTTCATCATTTTATATACACATAATACTTTCTACATTTATATACACATCAGGTATTTAAACTTTAAGAAATAATTGCGTCTGGTATATGAACATTTTGGCAACGTGCTAGATTCTATTTATTTACTTCTCTTTTTTTTTAATTATGTTCTCGTGTCATTTTCCGCACCTGCAAAGATATTTCTAAATAGTTTAGAGAATATGTTGCAGCTCTGAACGCTCACCGAGAATATCGACTTGGATTAGACCCACGAGACTAGCTCGGATAATAAATAAGCCTTTAATGATTTAATTTCTACATATATCAAGTGAGAAATTGAAACGTCGTTTCGTGAATAATAGGCTACTCATAGGCTAGCGCTATTCAAACTGTTTATTGCTAAAAAATGGTTATCAGAATAGTCTTATCTTCAGAAATAAATATTGAACAATTGAAATTGTTAATTGCCAATGACTAACAAAGTGCGCATGCATAGTAAAATAAATTTAGTCCAATTGATTAAATCAAGAAATAATATTTTTTTCTTATTTAATAATAAACAAACTAATTTACTAAGAAAAATGTGAATCTCTTTCAAGTTTAAACAGTTACATTTTGATATAACATTTGTTTATATCTGCATATTGTGAAAAAGATAAGTTTAACGCTGAAACAATTAAATGTTTGTTACAAAGATTTAAACAGTTTTCCTTGCAAGAAGTATCGATTAAATTAAATTTTCAAATATGTGGATTTTTCATAAGAAAAATTAGTCATAATAACAAATATTTCCTAATTAATTTCGATTAAAGGTGATTAATATCTAAGGTATATTCAAATAATTGTTATATAATTATAATATATAAGTCAAACTAAGTTATAACAATGATTAGTTATGTTCCTAGATTGCCCTTATCAACAGCAACTTGATTATTGGCAATATTTATGCATTACAAGGATTTATAAAGTATAGTTGAGAGTGCGTTGAAAGGATGGTGGATAAGTGCACTAACCACGCCACTTGGTTACATCCTTTTAACGTACTTGTAAGAAAGTAAATATAAAATTGTGTATTACCTCAGCACAGCCATTGTTGGCTGCATGAGTGCAGGGATTTGGTCCACACGTTGTACAAGACACTATCTCATTGGCGACCGAAGCCGTCTCCCTTTTCTTATCGCTCTGCGAGAAGAAAACAAATGCACATTCGTCACACACAATCGCTTATCACATTATCCTGTTTGTAAATAATAAAATCATTATCATATTGTAATTCAGTTAAGAGTAAAAAAATATACTTAACAATTACTTAAGCATTTGTAATTATAATAAAAATAAATAAATAAAATAATATTTAAGTAAAAATAAATAAAAAATAATTAAAGACAGAAAAAGATATAGAGATAAAGTATTAAATGAAACTAATACAATTAATGCAAATAACGAAAAGAAAAAGAAATAGAGTAGTAATTACAGCCTTCGAAGAGTCAAAGAAATGCATAAGTGGGGAAAAAAAGAAATGTATTTACAATTAAAATTTGAATAGAAGTTATGTTAGTCCAGTAGAGTTGAGTTTTTATAATATTTTTTATATTTTTTTTTGAGTTTGCTGATTGTTTAGTCCTGGAAAATGAAGAATATGCAGACTTACTGAATTGGCATCGGGTCCCCCCCCGTCTTGGGGACTTTCACAATAAGTCGAGTAAAACTCTTGTTCTATTGACTCCTACCAAAAAAGAATTTCAAAAGAAAATGATACAAATAATAAAAGATGAAGAGAGAGAAAATAAATAATAAAACAAAACAAAATAAAAAAAAACATTGGATACGGATAACAAAAATATAAATTAAATACATAAAACAAGGGGAGGAGTAATAATACTTGTAGCCTTATTAAAGTCTAAGGTACTACGAAGCACTTACGTAAAATCGTCTATTATGTGTGTAATATTATTTTTTTTTTAGTATTTATTAAATAATTATAAATAAAAACAATAAATTAACGTAAATGAATATACAATAATAATTGAATTCGGTTTGTTAAACTTTTTGTGCAGTGTTGACCGGTTGATTGATTGATGATACATGAGCAAGGAGGTCGAGGAAACGAACTAATCGATCATAAAAGCATCAAGTGTTAAATTCAAGCAATAATTAATATTAATAGAGGCATGCCGTTTTTTATTTCTACTGTTTCCCTTGATCGGATGCATTCCTTTACTTTTGTTCAGGTTTACCAGATCACTTAAATTACAGTACTGCTATCATTGTTTTTATTTTGACTTAGTAGAAAAAGAAATTTTCATGCTCATGCAAAGCCGGTGGTGCTCTGTGAGGGTGTGAAGCTAATGGTGATAGGCGGGCGGAGGGATACTATATGGCTTACCAGGGGACTGGCCAGGATAATGCCTATCCTGCTGAGCACAGCGGGCAGTCGCTGTAACATGACCAAACAACGTACATCTTATGACCACACATGCTTGTCTTCTTTTACACGCTCCAACATAAATCAATTTAAACGAATACAAAAATGGGGCGATGGTTACCCTTAATAATTCCTAAATCAAAGATTATTTAGTTTAGGAATTAGTAGCTTATTAACGACTACCATCTCCATTAAACCTCTCATTTTAATATCTTCTTAATAGTTTACAACAAAAAAAGTAATCAGTATAATGAACTCTGTATACTGTACTTGCAAAGTTTGTATGTTAAAATTTCCGAAACATTGCTTATATATGTTACAAAGCAAATACCATCCACCTGTTTTTTTTTTCTCTCTCTTTTAATATCGCTATTTTTTTCGATTTATTTTGTACACAGAATGAGCATGCATACGCTATGTATATTTATATATATACATAAGTTAATATATATATATATAAATTGAGATATCAACATGCAATTAGACATATAGATAGATAGAGATAGATACAAAGAAGTAGAAGAGAAGTAAAAGAAGAATGAAAAAAATATTGCAATAAGTGTGTGTAAAACGACCACTGTAACACAAACACAAAAAGTGAAGCCAAAATGAAAATATATATATGATTTTATAATAGTTTGATTGAATTGATCGATCTTATTGTTGATGTAACTGTAATATATAAAGTAAAAATAATGTTTCAAGTAAGTCGTGTGTATGTCCAAATATTTAAGGTAAAGAGTAATTTATACGCACTGACGTGTTTATTGAACGGATATTGTTTTATCGTCACCTTTTCAATTCGTTTCAGTAAACAGATCAGTGAATGTGATTTTTATAAAAAAATAATTATTATTTTATAACTGTATGAAAGGTATTACTCACTTGTGTGACGGGGTTCTCCCCTGGCCTGTAGACTACGTTGTGCAACGGTCTCTTTCGGCCCACGTAGTTGACACAAACGAACTCCAAGAGGGATGCATAAATGAAGCACATGCAGACGCCGTCCCAGACGTTCATGGCCGTCAGATTTGACACCACTGGTAATGTCGAACGGAAGCCGTTCGATGTTGTGAAAAAGTTGAGCATTGTCGTTACACCTGCGGGTCGAGAGAACAGATTTGGGCACAGCGCATCGGCTGCACTTTAGTACGGTGATCGGGTCGGCTCAAGAAGGGCACGAAGATTCGTGCACTAAGATTTACCTATCATAACTCTAGCAGGCACTGCATTCCATTCTAACCAAAACGTAATAAACGAAGAAGTAACTAAAATAATCCCTGGTATAAATACTGTTGTAAAATAAAATGCTCTATCCCGCGTGAACTTTAGATCCACCTTAAGGCAGCTATAATTACCTATAACATAATTACATAACTAATGTTACAAAAGAACGGTCTAAGTCAATAACATGTATGTACTAGTATTTAAAGAAAATATGAGCATATTGGGTATTAACGGGTGCATATAATATATTATAAAAAGAAACAGTTATTATTTTATTATCTTTGCAACTCTTTTTGCTTGCTAAATCTTGAAAAGTAAAATGTTAAAAATAAAATTGATTTCAGCTCAAAAAAAAGTTACTAGATGTAATGATGAACAGTTATTTGGGAGCCGCAAATATTTTTTTTACCTTTTAAAATGTCTTCAGTCAATGTGGCTCGTGAGCCGTAGTTTGCCGACCTCTGCATCCAATCAAATTTGGAAAGCGGCCAACAGTGGACTTACGATTTTAAGTTGAGGTTATGTTGTAGTGTGTGAGTGTAGTTCAATAAAACTTTCAGTAGCAATAAAGAAACGGTGTTTATGTAAGGTTAGTTGTTATTAATTAGATTTTTTTAGGATTTTTTGGATCTGATCAATTTTGAATAAACACGAATTAGAATTTAAAATTTCGCTTCAGTTTTATATCGTAAACTCTTTAATTCTTGTTTATTTTTATACTCTATTCTTAATTCGACAATTCAAATATTGAATGTCAATAATAATCAAACTTGTATCAGTTCAATTTTATAAATATATTATGGTTTTAATGCACTTTCTGATAGCTACATATCCCAATTTGCTCATTTTCTATTGTAATTTGATTATGTGTGTATGAGGGTGCGACTTTCGAAATTTGATTCTTAAGATTCTTTTGTTTTCTTGTTTTATTCCTCATCTCCAAAATTCTTGTTTTTTTTTTTAATATACGTTCTCTTTTACGCCGTTCTCGTCGACGTCGGTCTTGCTGCTTGCTCTTGCTGTAGTGACTTGCTTTTCATGTGCATTATGAGATTGACACGATACGATATTGATGGACGAATTAGTGGTTAGTATACCTTGTGTTTCAAACCGCTTTTGGCAAAGATTACAAGTGACGATTCCGTTCCTATTTCCCAATGTGTCTCTTCCTACAAACATCAAGTTATTTCGTCTGCTATGCTTTACTATTATGTGATTAGCTAATTAATTATTCAATATAATTATTGTTTGTTCTTAGGAATCAAATTCGCGAAAGCTCAGTAACAACAGTAATATATGCTTCAGCAGCAAAACAAAACAAAAAGTAAAAACATAAATAATAAAAAGTTTTGTTCTGTTTTCATTTTTTTTCTGGGTAAATGTAATAATAATAAGAATACACATGGGAGCGTGAGTTACCTCGCCAGCTCGACTTCGTCGGGCAAATAATGGTCTGATTCTCAATGAGATAAGCATTGAGGGTTGTAAGACTTGGTGATTTTCGCAATATTTCTTCATCGTTCTTCCATACGTACTTGATAGCCGTTTGCTCGTACGATACTGAAATCGAATATGATATTACAACAAAATATGCGAATCGATGACGGTGTCGTGAACTTACTACTTTCCATTGCGAAGGAACAAAGAGGGTCGTCAAAAGGAAATATATTAAGACTACCTTGGCAGGATAAAATAAGGTGCCTCCTGCGTATCGAAGAGTAACAGTATTAACGGGGCTGTGTTCTGTGTAACGTTGATGAAGTCTGACTCACCGCATGAGGTAAGTGACGCTACCGTTTCGGAAGATTTTAAGCGAGAAATGGACCGGAATAAGGGGGTCCTTGAAGTCTCCGTGCATGATGAAGTAAGTGTCTGGCAGCCAGATATCATCGTGGTGGTGGATCGCATTCAGGTGGTCGTACTTACTGAGATTCGAGTAGCGCAATCTTGGGTCGTACCACTGCTGTTGCAGCAGGAATTCTACCTCATATTTCTGAAATTGCGCGGATTTTATTATCAATAAATATTAATTCATAACATTAATGAGCGACCAATTAAGGAAACACGGTATACTTGTAAATTACGCACGTTTAATTGGTTCCGCGTAATTAGAATTATATTTAATGGCCTTGAAAAAATGCGGCCAATTAATTTTACAAAGCTTATATTTAACTGATTAACAAATTTTTAATCTTAATGCCATCATGAAAATATTTTTTTTTACCAAATTTTAGACCACATACAAAACAATCAAAATCAAATGGTTTATTGTATATTCATATATATTTAAAGTACAACCAAATCCAAACATTTGTATTATTTTGTTTTGGACATTACATACTTGTATTGGCAGCAGTTTTATATATTTAGCAAAGTTTTCCCATTAGCTAGCGTCGGTCTTGATATTACGTGAACATTTAATTAATAATAATAATTTAATGGCCAAACATCAATACATAAGAAACAAAAAAAATACATTCTATGCATAAATAAATTCTAACATAAAATATATATTAATAGGCTGGCCAAAGGGCTAACGACCGAGGTCTTTCCGCCCAATGAACATTTATTAAATTGGATTATAATTATTATTTTAATTAATCCCATTTTAAAATATCTGGTTCAAAGGTCATTCACATTTTTTCCTTCGTAAATCAATGAACGGCATAATCGGATTAAACGAAATTAATTTGCAACTGTATTTAATTGGCGGAAATGTAAAATTAATCTATAAATAAATAAAGCGTTAATTTCAATGAAACATTAATGTTATCTTTTAAAAAATAGAATATATTTTTTATTTAAATATAGTATATAGTTAACTAAATACATAAATTATATATTATTAGAAAAGTTTTGGATAGTTAGACGTTATTTATATTATTAATAACGCAATTTCTATGTATTAAGTTCTGCGGATGGGCCCGTTAAAAATGCATAAGCTCGTTTAAAATCTGGAGTCGTGTGTGTGCATTTGAATTATATGGAGGTTGCTTACCAAACTAGATTCGTCGGGAGATGCGAGACTCAGAAGCAGGACGCTAACGTTCACTGTTAAGGTACCTGCATCATACATGAAAATTCGCACATTAATTTGACCATCAATAATAGAGCATGTGCGAGAGACAGATATTAGTAATGCAGACACTATAATATAATAGGGTTAACACTTTTCAAGCAATATAAATTCATGGAATATGAAATGATAGAGATGCGTTTAAAGGAGAGTATTCTCTGGAAGATTCTCAGTTCTTTTTTAATGCTAAATAAAAACAGCAACATGCCAGGAGGTTGTGGTACCCGTTTGATCGTATTCTGGAAATACTAATAGTATGATGGATGTGTAAAACATACAAAGATATATATTTGGATGGCGGATGAGCATGAGTTGTGTTAGTTGTAGAAAAATAGAGAGATAGAGAGAATGTTAATGACAACAGCAAACAGTGCAGGATTTTGGCCAAGTCTCAACATTTAACGTCTTTCATTCCCTTTATGCTAAATGCTTCCTACATGCAATTATAATAATACAATCATGTGAATATCACTAAATCATTATTAACTATGTGTCATTCAGGAACAACATTAACATTTATAGATACTTGTTTATGGTTTTTGTTATTTCGGTCGGAACGTACATGGTTTGGTGTTAGTGTACACTTGTGGAGACTATTATATAGAGGGATGGGCCAATGCACTACTTTAAATATCAACTTTATCAAAATATTATTTTATTTACAAGAATAAACTTTGCTAATTTACATCAATTAATTGTTGATGTTACTTAAAAGAAAATATATTATATGCTAATAATAAGACTATTTGAAATTTCATCAATTTTCATATATTTTTGTAAACGATGAAACAAGGTGACAGCTGTCATTTCGTGACCCATTAAAAATGTAACGTTATTCAATATTGGGTCGCTGCCTATAGTTTGAGAAACGCTGTTATAAACAATCATATTTTGATTGAAAAAGACTGAAGACGATGAATTAAAAGATGCTGATGGAGCAACATAAATCAAAATATTATTTTTTTTATCGGAAAGCATTTGACATTTGACGTTTAGTTTTTTTTGTTTAATATTTTCATGAAGTTGACAGAGTTAATGTGGATTCGCTCAACCCTTTAGAAATAAATGGACAAATATAAATTAATTAACATATAAAGCGGCAACCGATGCATAGAACCCCAGAGCTCGCATCCAAACAAAATGTTTATATTTTTGTTTGTTTTCTCAACAAGTTTGATCATCGATAAATTAAAAAGTAGATAAGATTTTGGAGCAACGTCTCTGGTGATCTATATGAAAACATTAAGATAGTTATAGACAGAGAGATAGAGAGAGAGAGAGAGAAAGAGCAAAATGCTTAAAGAGACAAGGAGCAAGACGGACCGCGCTGTTTGCTGGTTGGGACGAGGATGGAACCATTATCCTCGGGGGACTGCAAGCCGCAGCAAAAGTCCGCATCTGCAACATCAACACCCGCATCATCTTACTCCCAAGGATCTTATGTCTTTGCATTTTATAAAGAAAAACAGAACTGTGTATTCGCTCCATCAAAAAAAGATAATCAAAATAAACAAAGGTTTGGAAACGATTGTTTTTTAAAACGACATTATCTGTATCGAATTAATTGTGGTAGATAATAAAAGTCAAGCTTTATACGTATATAGATAGAGAAATACTATTAATGGATTTTCTTAACATTATCGTAAAAGAACAAAAAAAAAGGTATAAATGAAAGATTAATATGCTACATGCCACGTGCTTGTATAATAAGGATTTTACCTGTGACGGGAGGCAAAAGTCTCTTGTCGTATCTCGTGACGCCTAGCAGATTATCCAGGATTTCTTTGTCCGATTTACCTTCCTCGTCTAACCTGTAACGTAATAATAAATATCATTTCGCTTTCATCCCAAAAAAATGTTTGTAAATGTTTCAGTAAAGAAAAAAAGAAAGTGAATTTCATTAAATATTTATTACACGAGGGAGACGTTCGTGACACATAAAAAAATATATTTAGATGATCGTCGACTCAAGTAAGATACACTTGGGAGGCTTCTAACAAAAAATAATTGACGGAAATGCTGGTTCCATACCAATATTTGGTATTGATTCGCACCGTTCGGTGTTGATTTTAATTTGCGACCGTGTCCTATCATGCTAAATTTCCAATTCCAATTTTTGCTACCAATTTGCTTCCTCTATTCATTTTTTTTCTACGGGATGTAGCTGCAAGCGTGGGCGTTAAAAGCAGAGACGAAAAACAGACTATTTTATCACTAGCGCCTCGTAAATTCCGGTTCTTTTATATATATATTTTTTACAGTGAAAACAGCGACACCGAGTGGAAAAGCTGGCTGAAAGAAATGACCGTTTATTTTCATTCCCCTAAAATGAAATATGTTTTAATTAAGTACTTTCGAGGCTGAAAATTACATTGTATGAATACGCGGAGGTGCAGTAAAACGTGTTTTAAAATTAAAATTGAAAGAAAATATAAATTCAAATACTTTAATTTTTGGTTTCGCGTTACTTGCACATTCAAATCATGCTTTGAGTTTATAAATGTAGTCGACATGATTATGAACATACTGTGTAAGTAATATTAATAACTATAAGTACTTACAAGAAGTAGCAGGATAATTTATGGATTCCTTACATTCCTAAAGAAATGTAAATCCATGTTGACGGATGTTGATTTAGTGAACATCCAGACATAATAGATGTTTATAGAAAGTTACATTTTTATCATATTTATTGGTGTTAAAGTTCCCAATTGAATGATTATTTTTTGATAATTGTAATTGAAAATTATAAACTAACATCTTATTGTTTTCTTAGATTATTCGCGATAAATTTTGTATTTTCATATATGTGATTTAAAATAAAAAGGTGTATTTGTTATACTAGAGATAATACGCTATAAAATTAAATTATACTTTGATACTTACAAATCTACGAGAGATAAAGCGATTGATTGTCTCGTGATAAGCAGGATTAAAGCTGCTCTGATGAACAACCAAATATGACCCATATTAGGACATCTGAAAAAAAAAACAAGAAGGTGATTTGTAAGAAATATAACAAGTTTCTTAATAAATCGTTTCAATGGAGCCATTCACGAAAACTTTCATAGATGACTGGGAGTACCATCAATATATAATTGGGTTCAATGTTTCCTTAATTGATTTTAAAATTAAAATTTATAAAAAATCGAATATATAAGAACAAATCTAATATGTTTATATAAGAACCTATCTCGTGTTGTGTCCGTTTGCAGACGAATGTCGGCAAATATGGTCACTGTGATGGCGCAGTCATCGATTCTTAGTTCTACGGTAGCTCTTATCAAGGCGCCACTAGTCTTATTCAGACGAAGCCATTACGTTGAAGTTGTGAGCATGTTTCGAAAAAAAATGTATCTAAATCACCTCCTGTAGAAAATGACCACCGGCCACAGGTTGAAGAACACTGATTTAGATATTAAGTTAGGACTAGTTTGGATTTAATTTATTAATATTAATTTATTTTTAATTTTTCACAGACCGTAGATTAGAGTCGCGAACCGGCAATTTGTACTATGATACAAACCAAATAGGACACATATTAGACCATCTGAAAAAAAATAAGGCGATCTCTAGGAATACAACAATTTTATTATTAAAGATTTCAATTGAACTGGAGCCATTCACGAGAACGTTGATATGAGGGGGAATGTCATCAATGTATAATTGGGGTCGATGCTTGCTTAATTACAATTAAAGTTTATGAAATATTTAATTGAAATCCGCTCTAAATTTGCACGTTTCAATCAGTTGTCAGGTTTTGATAGGGTCCGGATTGTATGTATGTGTATGCGTACGAAGGGGGTTTAAAGGGCATTTGAAAATTTAAAGCGGTAGTTTTTATTTTTAGATCCGCCCGCTTTTGTGAAGCATCCCGATATGATTCTGGTTTCGCCCGTCCTTTGCGTATCTTTCTTACCCTCTATTTTTTTTTGTGTTAGTTTAATCCCGGTCGCTTTAGTTTTAAATCCGACACCGGGATATACGGATTTGTCGGCGCCCCGAATGTCCATGGAGGATTGCGCGACTTGTGTAATTTGGAAAATTATCGGTTTGTTTATTTGCAAACTTTCCTGGCTCGATTTCCACATTGCTCGCCCGAACGACTAACGTCGCTAATTGAAAAATGAATTGAAGATAAATGAAGATGTGTGTGTTCATATTTCTGGGACAGGAGCAGAGGGTGACTCGTTTTGGGACAATCCCCCCTCACGACCATCGTTTTCCCTATGCAGACATGTGGCATTCCGCAGCAGCGTATCGATTAGCGAGCGCGTTCAAAACCGCGCTGCTCTCGCCACCCAATTTCGCGTACAACGTCTCTATTCCTATGTCCTATGAAAAAAAATATACAGAAAGTGTGCGAAAGAGGAGAGTATAAACCTCTGAGATAAAGGAAAGAAGATCAACGACAGTGCTTGACTGAAGATGAGGGTAAAGGGACTTTAGGTATTCAAATATTTATGTCTTCGCCAGCGGAATACGAATGGAATTGAAGTCGCAGAAGTGAAACACATATTTTTGTTTGAATATAGCGAAGTGGAGCTTTTTGTTCGCTGAAATTAATTGAATAAAAGAAAAGTCAAATTAAACGGATGTATTATACAAAAAGAAAACAATGGTATTGTTCCTGAAAATTAACTTGATCCGTTTTCCTTTGTTATAAAAAATTGAATAATTCACTTCAAACCGAGAACAATCTGGGGGATGTCAGTTATTATCTAATTTTCATTTTAAATTCAGCATTGAATTTCAACGTTATTAAATTTCCTTTAAGGTAAAACCGTCTATAGAACTTTTCGCTTATATTGATCATGGATGGCAGATAGAATTTCTCAATGGTACCAAAAATGATATTAGGTTAATAAACCTATTTCTTCTTGCGTCCCTTTACGGATGAGTGTCGTCAAATATGATCATTGATGTGGCGCAGTCATCAAATCATAATTCAACGGTAACCCTTAACGAGGCTTCACTAGTCTTATTCAGGCGGAGCTGTCACGTTGAGGTTATGAATGTTTATTTTTGACTAAGCTTTGACGTTAGTTCTATAGAAGCGTTTCGTGAATTATCAAAATACGCCACTACACAGCGGTTTCGCATCTACGGACCGGCAGATCTTGAAGATTGCTTGCATTGCTTATAAATTGTTGCATTTTGCAAACTGCATTAGATCATAATATTATCATAGATTCATAATTGCATAATATTATTATTAAGTAGATATATAAATATGTTTGATTCGGTTCGGTATTTTATAGATATTTTCGAACTAACTTGAATAGTAATAAACACAAAACAACGACCTTTTTGACTTATTACAGAAATATTGCACTTTAATTTTATTCGGAAGAGATAACAATATAAAACAAATGAAAGAGAGATGTTTTGCAACAACTTAAAGTAAGTTTGTATAAATTGATTATGTCTTTAATACATTGATAAATATTGATTATTTCGGAATGTATTTGACAAAACAGCAAGTTAATATTATTTAAGTATCTTAATCAAAATATTTGTTTTATTTGTAGATTTTATATAATAATAATTTATTGGCCAAACATCGATACATAAGAAGAAGAGAAAAAAAGTACAATTTATACATAAATAAATTTTAACATACAATAAAAATATATATACTAATAGGCTGGCCAAAGGGGTAGATTTTATTATTTTAGCTATCGAAATTTGTGTGAATTAGAGTTTATAAATAGTAATTTATATTGTGAATAAATAGTTCTTATCATAAAATATGACTGAATATTAGTCTAAATATATTACTAATTCCATTTTTTATTTGAATAAAGATTAATTTCTTATAAAATAAATATAAGTTAATATACTCCGTTTACCTTCCCGGTGATTGTGGTGAGGGCGAGTCAGGTCAGCCCACGTGACTGGGATGTTTCAGCATTTCGTGGTGTTTAATCTCACCACTCATCACCTGCGAACAGAAAGAAGAACGAAAGATAGGAGCAGGGACGAGAAGAGAACCTAAAGTGACGTTATCTATTCTCAAAACTAGTTTAATGAGATTCGCGACTCGCATGTGTGACAAGCCTTGTCCACTATACATTCAATCTTGCGTTGAAAAGGCAAGCGCAAAACAAGATAACTACATCATATGCATGATGCTCTATTATTAAGTTTTGCGTATACAGAGTTATATAAATAGATATTTCTTTGTATTTGCCAGTTAATTGAAATTAACAAAATTTCCCCATGAACACGATTTGCAAGTTACTTGTTTGCATAAGGAACTAAAATTATTATAGATAAATTATCGTTTTTTTTCTATTGATACGGTTTGTCTCTTGCAGTTTATATTTTGGTGGTTCTAAAGTTTTCGATTAGTCCGGTTTAGCTGTATATTCAAAACTGTTATTCATTTAGTATTTGGCAAGTGCCAAATCAATTCTGAAGACAATCTTAAATTCTTTGATAAAGGTTTCGAGCAATAAAAAAGTGTGTTAAAACTCAAGCTTCTCCAGTAATTTGACGATTAGTTAAATCTGTTTTTTTATTATTTTTTCACATGAGCATTTTATATGAATCTCATAGGACATACTGTTGTAACAGCGCTAGTAGACAAGCAGAACGTTTTAATACTTTCAGCATAATAAGAGAAAAGTAAACTAATGTGAATGATGATGAAAAAAGGATTGAAGGGACTCTCATGGGTGGTAAGAAAAAGGAGGATGAATGGGCCTTTGTTTTCGCTGCGAGCAGAACGCGGCGCAGCACACACATACGTATGTTATATTCATGAGGATTGTTGGAACGTTGCATTTCCCAAGTGTCTCGCATTTCACATCAAATTCAGCTTGGCGCACTGATATCCATTCCCCTTCATTTATAAATTACGCGCACACTCTCGCACTCAGGTATTTTAAACGCTGTGACTGTCCATCGACCCATAAATCTTCTTCAAATTATTATCCAGCGATCAGTTTAAATCAAATATTTTATTGCAACAAATAGGTTATATGGATTTATTTGAATTTATGCATACAGTTTTTACTATTAACGTCTATAAATAAACTTGTACTAAATCACCAATTTAATTACAAATATTTGGGACAAATAGTACTATTTTCAGTTTAAAATATAAAAAATGGCAATGTTTTATACACCGCGTATATGCTAATACAGTAAATAAATTTTAGTATCTTCTAGTTGGTGACTAAAATTTATTTTAAGTGTGTTGATTCAAAAACATCAGTAAATGAAAAGTACATATAATTAACTCTAAAAATGAATACTAAACTGCAAGAGTAGGGCGACTAATAGCCAAATGGTTAAGTCGCCCTATAGTCCCGACCAGACAGTCAAATGAATGAGGTTCAGTATATGGACCTTTTCAGCCAAGTCGATGGACAATGACAGTGTTAACTATCCACCGGGAAAGATTATCCATTTAATGTCAACCGCGATCTTAAATTTACTCAATTTTCACATTGGTGAACAGATTGTGTATAAAAACTACAAGAGTGTACATTTATTTTGAATGTATAACTAACTCAATGCCACTATAAATTTTAGACAGTTTCAAAATTTGTGCCTCTGCTTATTCGTGATATTAATTAATTCATTTAAGCAATTTACGATTCAAAATTGATCGAGTTCTGGGCACAATGGGGAAAATGCATAAAATACTTGGTTCATTCGAAACATTCACGTTGCGCCGTCATAAAATTTGCAATTTTATTATTATCGTGTCTGTTGAGGAACCTAATGGCTCCCTTGGGATAAGTTTATATATAGTTACACAGTTGTGTTTACTGAATGTATGTGTACTGCAGCAACCTTCGTGTTACCTCCAGACATTAGATACCATTAAAACAAAACAACAACAACAAAAAAAACTCGTGTAAGAATAAATGCCTGATTGGTAATAGCCTGTCTTCAAATTCACTGTGAACACGATAGGCAGGACAAAAAAAAAGTTTTTTTTGGACATCCACCATCCACCATGAAATCGTTCTTTTTTTGTTCAATTGATTATACATGCCGAAAGTATTGATATTTCTCAGATTCAAGTTCGCGCTTGTCAACTTCTTGGCAGGAGAATAGTGGAGACATGTAACGAGATTTCTTCGTTTTATTCCGTCTCGCGCCGCGCGGTCGGGTGAAATTCAATTCCCGATAAATACGAGTCTTTCATATAGGTGAAAGCGTTTTGTTTGCGAACTATAATATAAAATATTAATTAAATGGCCGTTTGCTTTCGTGATGGCGAAAAAAATAATACAGAAATAGCGTACAATATGAAACTTCCATTATTGTTGGTGCATTCAACAAAACAAAACCTACAATTCGCTATTGGGAAAACAAAATTTTCTAAACTGTCCGACTTTTAATCACTAATATCGTATTTGATTTTTTTTACAGTCAAGTTTCTTTTTGTGCGGCTTATGTTTATGCGGTTTTAAAGTCCTGGATTAGTCCGATTTCAAACAGTTCGGAATATTGGCGCAACCGGAGGTATTAATGTATTTCATTTTAAGTAAATGTCGTTAAAAAATATAAAGTTATTAAAGTAAATTAATTGATAATGATTGTAATAGTTTCAGAGAAAGGCAATTAAAAAAAAACGCGTTTCATGTTTCGTTTCTCTAACTACAAACAATGTTGCGCGTTTAACGTTTGCGCCCGTTTTCGTATCGAGCTTTTTCCACTTTAGTCGATACTCATTTGGAGACTCATTCCACAAACGCTCATGTTTGATCCTTCACAACATATCAGACCGAAACCATTTTTCCACTTTATTACACATTTCAATTTCATATAGTTAAAAATTCAACATTAATTAATAGATCCGTCATTTAATAATAATTTAATAAACAAAAGGAATCGATAATTTTCTTTCAACATATATTCTATACAACTATTAGGACATTAAGTATGAAATATCCGATTACATCAAGTAAACCTGATATTTAGGAATCTCTGAAGCTGGATAGGTGGGTTATGCATTAATTAATCGAACGATAAATAGTTTCGCAGCTTGTCTTTCTTTATTGTCGCGATCTAAAGGCGAACCATTTTTACATCATATTGTTACGTACTACGAAAAATGGATTATTTTCGACAAACGTTCGGCAAAATGATTGTATAATGGAACACACACTACACACATGATACACACTACAAAACAGAAAAAAAGCAAACGATGTCTGTTTGGTGATCCAGCGTTGGTATTTTCCATTACAGCTTCATGGGACCAAGTCAATCGATTATGGATGATGTCTACTGTAACTAAATAGACGAAATGACGAGGGAGCTAAGGATTAAACAGCCGAGATTGGTGAATAGAGAGCACAACTTTTTGCAGGACAATGCACGACCACATGTCGCACGAATAACGTCAAACGCTCAAAGAGCTGTACTTGGAAACTCTGTCATTGTTTCCAGGGATAGGACTACTTCTTGCAATGAACAATAAGTTGTAAAAAATACGCTCCTAAGATTTCTGCGTTGCCGGTATTAAAAAACTATCGTTAAGATGGCAAAACTGTACTAATAGTTTAAGCACAAACTTTGTTTAATTATACTGCTTTTTGTTTGAGATATAATAAACCAAACTTTCAGTTCGAAATCGGACGTTTTTACTTAATATAATATAGACACAGTATATTTGTCTGAGTATCGGAAATTATATGAAAAAGAAAATTCACGATAAGATTAAACTTATGTATGAAAGAGGTGTGTGGCAATGATTATAATGTTCTTTTACCAATGTCTTATGCTACAGTAATTCAACTTCTTATAGTGGTTTGTAACATCTATTAATTTTCACAGTTTCACTTGACCTTCACTCATAAACTCGTAAACTCATAATAATTATAAGTTAATGTAAAATTCATCAACAGATTATTACATTTTGGAGCAACTAATTAAGAAATAGAAGGTTAATAACTGTTATATTATAGATATTATAGTGACAATTGATAATGGCTTAAGAACTTTTCAAAGTAACTGCCGATTTGGATACATATTTTTTTTTAATTACTCTTTATAACACTTAGACCAAGTAATTTTAAACATTTTTTTTGCATCTGACAAAAAAATTTAACAAGGTACCATTATAATTGTTTATAATCTTACAATTGTTAATATGATACTAGAAATAGTAGTAATATTTTATATTCTATTGTCTGTAAATAAAGAAGATATTTATTATTTGAAAAAGTTTTTACTGTCGACTAACGGTGATTAGATAAATATTTTATATTATATATGTTTTATCATTAAAGATTAATATAGAAATAATTTTGATTATAATTTGTAACAAATTTGTTAGATTTGGTAAAATTCTGACTTATAACATTTCAATATTATTGAGTTTTTTTTTTCAATTCAGTACATTTTTTGCAATTGAAATTTACTAGAAATTGTAATTATAATCAAAAATTTCAACTGCCAAATAAATATGTTAAGAATATAAAACAAATACAATATAAGTTTCCAAATAAAATATGTGCGTGAGATTAAATGAAAAGCGTGCAAGTAATAATGTTTTATATCCAGTTTCGTGCTCAGGTATCACACTAAGTATTTTTATATTGGAATAGAAGGCAGCTGAAGTACCGAAGGAAATATCGATTCATTTTCCCGTGTGCGAATTTGATTCGAAAAGCGTCGCGGTTTAGTTTGTTCATAATAGTTTAGTAATAAGGCGGTCCAGTAAGTATTACTCGATTATAATGAGCTATGTGCACATCGACTATCTCGCTTTGTATCCATTATCTACCAGCTACCATTATTATCTCTGCTACTCTGCCCATCTCCGTTCGTCCAATCCATTTAAAGGGGAATAACGTTTTCCCTTTGTTTACGGTCTGCCGAAGCCGCAACCCGGTGGTATTTCCGGGTTTAATTAAATGAAAACCCCTTTATGTTTATTCCTTTTAATAAGATTTCGTTCGTCATTACGGGCAAACC